TCAAACAAATACGACAAACAAAAATATTTAAAAATCATAATTAATTGTCACAAAAAAGAAAAAAGATTCAAATAATTAAATAAATAAGAGAAACTATATATATATATATATGTGTATATATAAATATACAACTATACATAAAGGAGGATCGAGAAACAGCTTGGAGCGAAAGAAATTGATAGTGCGAATTAGAGAGTAATAAAGATCGTAATATTATTATATCGAGGCAATTTGTATTTTTTTTTTTTTTTTTTTTTTATAAGCGAAAGGTGCGATTTGATGAACGTTACCTGGTTAGCAGATTCATCAGCCTAGCTAAAGGTCTGCATTGCGTCAAAGTGGGTTAAGTATTAGTTAAAAAAGAATAGGTGCATTTTTTGTTTTGTTTTTACTATCCTGATTATAAAGAAATCAATAAAAAGAAGAGAAAAATTGTGCAAATAACTTAAGAACAGAGAAAAACGACACACAGTTATTGTCTTTCTCTCTCTTTTTCTCTCACTCATTCTCTCTCTCTCTTTCTTTCTCGCTCTCACTCATTCTCTCTCGAGTTAAATTCGTGACGATGTGTTTGCGCTTGTATGACAATTCGATTCTCGCGTTAAGAAACTAATTTATAAATAATATATATATCTTCGCATATATATATATATACGATATCGAATATTCGCACAAGTTTGTTTTTAAAAAATTCAATGAAAATTTAGCTCACCCTGTTTCTTCGCGGGTGGTACTGGGATTCGCAAACCATTCGGTTACCTTAGCATCAAACACCAGACTCATAAGAAGGTTTCTATCACAGTAATAGGAATTTTTGTCTGCTTTGTTAGTACTGGCTGTTAACATACAAAGAGTTATTTTCGTTTAAAAATTAGAATGAATTTTTGACTTTTAATTTAACACGTTGATTGCCATATATTTTGTGTTGTAATAAAAACATTTATTTTTCTATCTGAAACAAATTGATATAATATAAGAGAATGCACGTGAAACTATTCTCTTTTTTTTTTTTTCTTTTTCTTGTAAACGATTGTGAATAAAATTAAGAAAAAAGATCAGTGTACCACATCAACTTGGCTCTCAATTTGTAAGATCAAACATAAAACAACATAGCAACACGTTGGTCATTGGTGACAGTCAACGTGTTCGGTTTTGTTTGATTTGGAAAACATAAGTATATTGTTAGATAATTAATGAATTAAATGGTTCGGTATGTGGATACTTACGATAAGATTTACGATGCGAACCATGACCGGAACTCGTGGCAGAATACTCTGGCGGTTGGGATCGTTTCAAATCGATCCACTTCCAACCTGGCATACGGGTACGTTCAAGAAAATGTAACAATTGCATTTCCGAAGTATTGAACTTGTGTTCATCTTTGTAATGATATCTACGATAATAAGAAATATTTATTTGAATAACATTGTGAAATAAAACTGATTTTTAATTGATCGGTTGATAAAACGAAATCAACGTAAATGTTTGATTATCAGGTTGTATGGCAACTTAAACGTTGCTAAAGAAAAAATAAAATGCATACTCACTTGCAATACATCCAATCAGGATGCACCAGCCAGTTGTTACCCGCGAAGTAATCTGTCACGTCTTTCCCTACGACGAGTCAATGTTAGTTCCTCTTTTATAATTGAATATTTAGTAAATAACAACAACAACAACAACAAATCTGATACGTTAAATGTAGATATACCAAAGTGAAAAGAAAGGGACACAAGTTTATGGATCTATTAATAATATATCATTCAAATTTATTCTTTTAAAAAATCTTTGATATATTTGAATCGTTAAACTTAAGCATTATTTTATTACACCGAAAGTAAATATTTTCATTTGATTTCAATATAACGAGGAAAATAATGAAAATAATTTCAATGATCGTTGAAAGCTTCGTCCTGAAATTTTCACTGGAATCGAATATTTGAAATTAAAATCAAAAAACAGTATGCTCACCCCTCACACGAGCTCTGTGTATATCTTCGGTGGCAGATACACGATAGTTTTCAGAATAATCGTGTATTGGAAGACTCACAACCACCGTGAATGGGGTGTTCGAAATTCCGACATAATTGTAAGTTCGTTGAACTCGGCCAACGCGTTTCTATTTTGAAGAAATAGAAAAATAGAAAAGAAAAACAAAAACAAATATATAATAACAAATAAAATATATAAAATAATATGATTGAATTCTTATAAATATAATTATTACGTTTAACGAATCTATTTAAAATATATATTTACGTTTACGTACCATGTCATCGTAATGATACTTCGTATGAAACGTTACACTACCGTTAACTTGATTGATCACATCATTACGGAACTGCGAAGAAACAATGTTATTGATATTAAGTAACCAATATATAAGTTTAAAAATTGATTAGATGATTATCATCGTGTGATTATAATTGTATATACCATAATTATTCCTTCGTCAAATTCTCTGGGTCCTTTGTCTTGATCCAAGAGTTCGACCTCGGTCATATCGACACTGTTGTATGCAGGTTTTAATATACCCTGGAACTGTTAAATAATATTTTATTAGATACCGAGTTACGATTTACATATAATACAAATCTTTCAAATTGTCGTAGTTGATAGTTACCACGGGTCGAAGGTCAGGATGAATTAGGATGTAGCCGTTATTGGTTACGATGAAAGCGTATCCGTTAACACCCAACTAAAAAATAATAATAATAGTAATAATAATTAACAAAACAAGAGTGAGAAATAGATCGTGTTAATTTTGGTTGGACAATAAACGATTTTAATAAATAATTAATATCATTTTCCTCACCACGTGCGGCATCATTAATTTTTGTATTTCCTCGATGGGTACGTCCGTGCCGGCAACACCGAGAAGATCGGCGATTCGTGTCTGCGCATACAATGATCGACAATTGAAAAAATATTTTGTCCGATGTCGCGTGACAAGGAACGCGTGTTATTATCGAAATAAATTACAAATGATCATATCATCCCAAGTTCGCATAACCAGAAGCGTATCTACCTTCTCCAACAAGGCTATCACAATGAACTCGTTCTAAAGACACACTGTTTTACTAAATAGTATCCAAATTAAATAATAATGATATACTAAATTAACGAATAACGATAAGAGTGTGTGTTATTTGACACGTCTGGACATATGTATATATGTAAGTAAGTAAGTAAGTAAGTAAGTTAAGTAAGTATGTATAGAAAACTAGCATACTACTTTCTCAATAATAATAATAATAATAATAATTATTATAATAATTAATTAATTAATTATAATTAAAATAATAATATCGAATGATAATTAAAATAATAGTAATAATAATAATAATAATAATAATAATAATAACGATACACAATAATAATAATTTCTGACGCAGGCTAAATATCCTAAGTATTAAAATTCCAAATTAATAATTAGCTCGCCGTTGATCTTTCGGCCCGTCGATTTTTACGAATAATACGAATTTTATTTCTTTCGAATAGAAATCAAATCAATTATTTGTTTTTCAAATCACAATCACGAATAATTTGATCGAATGGTCTACGACAATTCGTATTTTCGTTTAAAAAATCGTCTGACTTCAACGGCGTTATAATAATTGTAATCTACTAACGTAATTCCCCTCTAACGAAATTCTAGCACTCAATAAACTGCCAAGTCGTATCGTGTTTATAATTATTCTAATTTAATCTAATAGGCTTTTCTTTCTTTTTTTTTTCAATATTTTTCAGATCAAAAAATTCATTTCTTTTTTATTTATTCTTTTTTTGTTGTTGTTTTTTTTTTTTTTTCATGTCAGACACGACGACTGCAGAAAAGTGACTTCGTCTACGAGTCAACGATAATAATAATAATAATAATAATAATGATAATAACGACAACAATAATGATTAATAATAATAATAATAATAATAATTAATAATAATAAAAATGATTAAGTTTTACGAGGAAGTTCGCCGTTCGCAATCCAACAGGCGGGCGGGAATTTCCCATTTTTTTTTTTTCTACTCGTCTCGACAGGACACAGGGTAGACTAAAGTACCTAAACCTACCTAATGATTAAACCAATTGCAGTAACTAATGTTAGATCAAAGTAAGATACCAGAGAGATAGAGAGAGAGAGATAGATAGATAGATAGATAGATAGATAGATAGATAGATAGATAGAAAGAGAGAGAGAGAGATAGATAGATAGATAGAGAGAGAGAGAGAGAGAGAGAGAGAGAGAGATAGAAAGAGAGAGAGAGAGAGAGAGAGAGAGACGAAGGTGGACCTAAAAGGAACGAAAGAAATGTCACACGACGACCGTTTTTGTTTAATCCTATTTACAATAATAATTGTTCTTCATTTTTTTTTTATATTTTATTCAGCAATAGACAAAGCATCAATTATTTTGTATACGTTAAATATTGTATTGTATTATTGAATATTAGAATGTTAGTTTAATAAATGATGAAAGTAATGTAGAAAATATTGGAACGTTTAATACGGTCGTAGTGTGTACGAGAATATAAAAGGTGTAGGTAATAGGGTTTCTATGCATTGAAAACAACGTTGCTTGTGTTTTTTTTGGCTGCCAACCTCTCTTGTCTCAGTAACCCAGTAAGCTTCGTTCACCAGCACCTGCCTTGTGATGTTCTGTGGACAAAGAGGAACTTAAAACCGACGAAAGAGAAAACTCTGGACGTTTTTCTTTCGGACAATTTTTGTACGAATCTATCGAAAAATTTTTCCATCTAAGGATGTGTATAACTAGGACACGAAGAATTCTTATTAATAATGATATTATGATGTAAATGTGAATAATAATATTCGTTCGAACGGATTATCAGGGATTGACATAAAACATTTTGTAATAATGAGATATTATCTGTTTTTTTTCTTTCTTTCTTTCTTGTTCATATAACAACAAGAGAAAAGTAAATTTGTTTGTAAGGTGAGAATGAGAATGAGAATGAGTCAGTGCCGTTATGAATCGAAATAAAGTTAAAAGTTCGAATGAAGTTCGCAAGGACGGGAAAATTTTGTCCAATACGTACGTACGCTTATTTCAATTATAAGTTGGGGATTGAAGTATTTTCAAAACATCTAACATAAGCACGTTAACTTTTGCCTGTTTGACCTAACTCTCGTCGAATAATAAAAATTCATACTTTTCTTATATCGCAAAATTATCGATTACATTTCAAATCGTTTCTTTGTTTTTCTTTTTTCTTTTTTAGATCTTTTCTTTTGTAGGAAAATAATATTATAATTTTGTTATCACATTTCTCGTTAGTATAATTTATGAATTTATATAAAAATGAGAAAAGAAAACTTACCGCGTTTTCGCGTCTGTCGAATACGGGCATGCTAACCGATGTCATCAATCTGTATTCCTGATAATCTTCACTTTGCTCGTATAATTTTTTTTGCTTCTTAATGAATCTGCGATCATGGTCCTCCATGTTGAATGGTTTCCGATTTTTATACGATAGAAATCGTTTCCTTTGTTCCTCGCTTTCACGTTGTTCCCATAGCCAGTCAGTCATTTTGGGGTCCGTGATGTCTGCGTAAACAGGTGTCCAAATAGTTGGATGATCCGTACGACCTAAAACCAGAGGCCTCGCCATCACGGGAATGTATTTCAGGACCTAAAACAAAACAAATATGTTGGATCAGGTTTGCATTTTAAAATGTGTGTATGCGTGTGCGTGTGCGTGTCCAAAAAATATAGAATAAAATCTACGCAAACGTTATGATAAATAAAATCAAATCAAATGTGTTTAAAAATTTGTTATAATATTATAGAAAATATATTTAATCGATCGTTTAAATGATAATAAATATGAAACTCTTACCTCTTCTCTTACTTCTGCCAAAGTGCAAAGATGAACGTAGTATCCTCGATTAGCGCATGCCATCCATTGGACTTCCCGAACATCTGCAACTTCTCGACCAATCAAATAAGTGAACATTCTGACCGGCATATCGGCCTTCAAAGGTTCGTCAGGATTATCTTTCCAATTGTATTCCTCGAAAATTTCTTTATAATTAAATGGTACGCCATCGGTTATCAGCATGATAGCTTGATTACATTTTGCCCCTTCTCTTTCGGTACGATAAGATTGAAGTAAATCGAATGCCGTTGTCAATGCTAAAGAAAAATTAGCGATGTTAACCGTTTCCAAATTTGAAATGGCTCTTTTCAATTCCCTCACGTTCGCTAGATTCGCTTGGACCAATGTATCATTGAAACAAGGGACCACCTAAAAATCGAACAATCTTACGTAACACTGTTGCATGCGCTATACACGACTATGAATCATTTTACTTTGGGGGAAGATAATATTCTTTGAACACACTTATATATATAAGATTGCCTGGAAAATTCATTTAGTTAATTTTGTTTGTAAATGTAAATGGAAACATACAAAAGTATTGAATTTGATTATTTCGTTAACAAATTGGCACGAAAATATCGTCGGGACACAATATTATATATAAAATTATATCTTCGAATATCTTTTTTTTTTAATGTTTTTAAATTAAATAAAAAAAAGTTAGATATAAACGAAAACGTTACCTCTTTCGTAATATTGGAGAACGTAATGATATTGACAAAATCGTTATTCCCAAGGGTGTCCAAGATATTATTAACTACGTGTCGTGCGATTTCACGACGCATTCCTGTCATACTACCGGACGTATCCATAAGTATGAGGATGTCCTTTGGACTGGTAGCCGCTTCGATATACCAACTTCTAGTTCTGCAATCGAATAGATCTACCGGTTCCATATACCAGCTCATTGCAGGATACTGTCTCATAAAACCTGTAGAACTTCCAAAATATTGCCACGACAATGATGGATCTTGTTCGTAATTATTAATAAATGTCTTGTCCAATTCCTCGGACCACTTGATCGCCCTCAAAACTTCCGATGCACGCTCGTATACGTTTGTTGGCACGTGAACCGCGGACATATTTAAATTAACTTGTCCACCGAAATGATCACTCAATTCTAGATCGATCGTAGTGTTTTTCGCGTTAACGAATTCGAAGGATTCGGGTGGATCGGCATCGGGTGCTGATAAAGCTGACGTCTCGGCAACGTCCATGATTCTCTGATGAACAAATGATAAAACCACCCCCGCAAACCACCCCCCCCCACACATTGAAATTTATTAAATATTATTTTAAATAGAGTTAACGATATATTATATATATACATGTATATGTAATTTTAAAAGAAAAGAAATATTTGAATTTATATACCCTTATAGCAGAAATTTTCGATTCCATCATAGCTTTAATATCGTTGGCAATTTCCCCAGCCAAATCTCCACCTGCATTTTTCACTACCTGAGCGTGTTTGTAACTTTCATGAAACTTTTCCACATTCGTCACGTACTTTCCCAATTGCGATAACTCGAAGCCCAATTTTTCCGCCCATGTTTTTACTCTAAAAGATAGAGAAAAAGAAAGAAAAAAAAAACGGGGGAGTATAAAAGAGATCGATCGAATTGATGATAAAACAACTTTTTAACGTCACAGTGTCCACGTTAAGTCCTTAACCCCTTCTTGCACCTATTATTATTATTATTATTAATATTCATCGCGCTTAGTTGCTTGTCCTAACTCGGTACTTTATTATTTTCTAATACTTTTATTATTCTTCGTAAGAGATTCATTAAGTTGAATAAAGGCACACTCGGGTTTCACACATATTCCATATCCATACGAAAGTGTATTGCGAGTTTCACGCGTCATTCTAGGTCAAGGGGTTAATACGATTAAACGTGTCTCCTTTCATCATAATTACAACATCGATACGTACTATTGTCTAGGTATATAATATACATATTGTAACATATTGTAAGATATTAGTTAATAAAAAAAAAATAAAATAAAATAAAATAAAATAAATAATGAAGCTTTGAGGGATAAATTAAATTCGAGTTGAATAAACGTTATCAGCAAAATATACATACGTAACGTAACGTAACGAGAATCCCCGAGAGGGTGGGTGTATGGTTGGATTAAATAATTAAAAAAAAAAAAAAAGAAAAAGAAAAAAGAAAAAATAATCGTTGCGCGAAATATATAATAAAATCGAATTGAAATACTTACGTGTTGTGAGAAATACCGTCACCAGGATCGGGTGCCTCGATGAGGATCAGTAACAGGGTGGCGACGGTTACCGGTAGGAAAGGGGACTTCATAACTTCTCGAGCCCTCTCTAGTTCTCTGCTGGTGTTTACGCGAGGACACGGTAAACAAAACTGAGCTCGGGAGCAGACTCGCGTCTGACATTAAGGATGCCCACGTAGTCCTCGTCTTCGTCGTCGTAGTCGTCTTCGTCGTCTTCGTCTTCGTCGTCTTCGTCTTCGTCTTCGTTGTCTCCGTTATCGTCGTAGTAGTCTTTGTCGTAATTGCCACCACCTACGTTTTCGTATGCGTCCTTGTTTGTCACCTTGTTTATCGTCCTCGTTGTCCTCGTCCTCGTCCTCGTCCTCGTCTTCGTCCTCGTCTTCGTCTTCGTCTTGGTCGTCGTCGTTGTCGTCGTCGTAGTCGTCGTCGTAGTCGTCGTCGTCGTCGTCGTCGTTGCGCTGCCAACGGCGCCTAGAATGCGCACAATACAAATCCGAACACGTTCTACGGTAATGGTTTCTCACATTTATCGATCAGGAAAATGCTTTTAACTTCGAGTTTGCGCGCAAGCTCTCGTCATTCCACCAACGACCACCGTCGTACGCTGATATATCGTAAACGCCCGACAACGCGACGCTACTTTCTCCCTGTCTACCTTATTTTTTTCCCTTTTTTCTCTCCTCCTCCATCTTTTTTTTTTTTTTTAATTTTCCAG